CATCTCTTCCTATATTTCTCATCTTGACACTATCCCCCCCTCACTCAAGTCAGAGATCCGAGTCATCCTAGATTCTGCGTCCCGATAGTACCCCATTTCTGATCAGCCACCAACTCCTGTCAGTTCCATCTTCTAATTATTTCTCACCTCCCTTTCTTACTCTCTATTTGCCATACCTCTGCCCTGGTTCAGGCTGTCATCTGTGGAGATAAGCAGGACTCTCTAGTGAAGAACCTTAGGAGTTCATTCTTGATTGTGTGGCAAGGACCCACTGGGCCTGTTTCACTGTCACCCTCTATCAGGAGGGGCTGTACCTAAACTCCACTTCTAAGAAATCCCATGGTTTCCTTGGATGAAAAAGGAGCTGCAGTTCCCACCATGCCCAAAGCCCATAGGTGGTGAGATTTCCAAACAACCTGGCAAACAGTTGATATCCAAGCCCAGACTGCACCAAGACAAAGCTGCTGTTGAGTCCTCGGGCGATTCCCACACTTGCCCCATAAGAAAAGCTCAGCAACAGATGGGCCCTGTGGCTTCTGGGGCTGCCCTGTGCCTGAGTGGAGCCTCAGTGGGACCAGCTGAGCTTGGGTCCCGTTGCCCCTTTGTGCGTAATGCTGATGAACTCTGCCACCTTGCACCTGTGATTTCAAACAGTGACAAGTGATGCCACTGTGTTTGCCTGTCACTCCTCCGCAGACTATCACCTGTAAACCTCGTCCCTTCACAAGCTCTCGAAGGTCAGACCAGGTCGCTTTCTGCCTAAAACTTCCCCCTGTAGAACAAGGTCCAAATTCCTCACATGGTACACAAGGCCCTAAATGTTGTCACTCCCACTTTCCTTTCCAGGCTCATTTTCTACGATTCCTTCTCTCCTCTCCTCAACTCCACCCCCACTACACATGCACACGCACACACACACACACACACACACACACACACAGACATATAACCCTGTGCATTTGCCTTCCCACACTGCTACCTGGCAACAGAAATCGGCCAGAACACAAATGCTTCCTCCTCTGTGAAACCTCTTTGCCCCCTTCCTTAGAGACTGGGTCCCTGCCCCCACCGCCTCTCACTAGACAGCTTATCATCTTCCTAAAGACTGGGTCCAGGGACTGTGCCTTGCTGTCTTCACTGCCCTTCACCTAGCAAAGGCCTGGCCCATGGTAGCACCTGAATGTTTGTTGAAGAAATAAGCAAATGTACAAATAAATGATGTCAACTCCTGAATGCATCTCCCTGAATACTGCTGAGGAGCTTGTTTGCCTCGTGTCATCGACGTGGTCATTTTTCAACTATCCTCAATCTGTTATCACTTGCTCTTGAAAGGGTTTCACTGAGGACTAATCTGGAATTCCCTCTACTACTCTGGAGGCTTTTGTATGCAGAGTTGCCTAAAGTAAAATTACAATGTGCAATGCAGAATCTCTTCTGAAAAACCTACCTGCAGCCCAGTTTTAGCCCTCAAAGTGTATTTTCTTCAAAGTGTATTTTAAACAATAATATAAATGCATATAGAACTCAAACATCAACTTAATATTAATGGTAATAACAATAATGATTGTCTTTAAAGGACTTCATTGAAGTCAAAAAATAGCCAAACAAGTTGACATGCAATCGAAATTTTATATTTTTTATCAGAAAAACAATTCACTACCAGTGAGAAATAACAGTAGGGCTGCTAAAACTACCTGTCAGGCATCAAATGAAGACAGATTCTCTGGCTACCACATATAATATGTAATATCCAAAAGTGCTGCTATAATTCACAGCTAATTAATGTCTTGCCATTATGAAAAGTGTCACGGCCCTAACTCTCTTTCCAGATCTACTCAGACCTCAGAAGAGCTGACAGCCATGCAAGGATCACAACAGGCCAATTAGCACCCACCCCAACCTTGGGCTGCTGCTTCTCCAGCCTGCCCTAGCATCAATAAATCATGTTCCATCATGAAGCTCTTCTGACAGCTGCAAGCCAATGCTGCCCAAGGAATAAAGACAATACTTCTAAGGAAAATGCATGTGGGAAAGACAGGGATAAAAAAGGGGTATTATTTGCCTTCCTTTGGCAGCACACAAGTCAGCAAAATGGAAGACCATCAATTCAGACTTATTAAGGGAACAACTGTGCTAAGAAATAAATCCATGGTATATCTGAAGATCCTCAGTGGTAATCAACAGTCAGCAGTTGGGTTGTTTGTTGGTGTATTTGTTTGTTTTAATGTGGACATACTGAAGACCTTTTTCTTTCCATTTTTCTCTTGGATCACCCTCCTTCTGGCTAATAAGAAAATTTTCCTTTCAGTAGAATATAATGGTCTGCATTTACTTTGTCCCCCAGTGAATACACAGCAATCAGATAATTTGTTTGAAAGACTCTAAATCGTTTGACTTCATTCAAAAAGAATATATAATGATATGCTGGTTTCCAAGAAAGTCCTACAAAGCTTCCTAAATCCATAAGCAAGCACTAGAGTATTCTCAGCACATAAAAGTCAATATCCTTGTAATTTTGTTCTAAGCCTGTAAAGCTGTTTTGTTCCATAATATTCTTAGAAAGTGTTCAGAACAGTCACTGCAGCCTGGGCATTATTCAAACATATAACTCAAGCAATTCTACTTTTAGTTTGTTTTCCTCATGGAAATCTTCTTCTCTATGTTTAATGCTAATCTAAAATATATAATCTAGCTCTTAGCTAAATAATGATTACCTAATTTTGCATATAAGTATTGGGAAAGCCAAATAAACAAACATGGATGCACTTAAATTAGGAATTCTCTTCTATCTCTTATCATTAAGCATAGAGATTTCCAAAAGACTCGTTTTTCTTCCTCTGAGTATAATATTCTCATGGAAATCTTCAAATATTTATCTATAAGGATGTTCACTGCATCATACTTTACTAACAGCAAAACAGCTTAAAATAATGAAAATACATAAAACATGAAATAGATTAAATGATGAATTACCCATACAATGGAAGGTTATGTGGTTTCTAAAGATAATGATGTAGACGAATATGAGAGGACATGCAAAATTGTTCACAGGACACTGAGAGACAGAATAAGAAAAATGCAGCCTAGATCCACTGTGTGTGTGTGCACACACAAATTTGTGTGTATGTATATATAAATATAGATATGCATATATACACATATCTATATTTACTTTTCTTTACAAGATGATCTCCATTTATTTTCTGAATATGAGGGTGTGTTTGTTTAAATAAATACACTTACAGGTGAAGCACAGAAAAAAAAGCTTGCCAGGAAAGGTATTTCGGTATTAAAAATACATCTTCAGAAGGTGATATTTTTGATTCTTCTTTGAGCTTCTCTATTTATATAACAATGTTGATATTGCTTTCATGATCAGAAAAAGTTATTAGATCTAATAAAATATTCATGTATGTCACCTGGGTGTGTATAAGTGTGCCCTGGTACGAAGTCACAGGCTGATGGGGCATCAATTCTAAGTGGCGAATGCCTATCCTGTATCAGTCATTGTACTGTTTTATTATCACCTTGGGTATAAGCAAGATTAGAAAGGTCAGTGGCACATCATTCTGGAGCACATTTCAAAAACGGTAATCAGAACAGCATCCTCTAAGGAGGGGTGGATTGAAGCCAAACAATTTGAGAACACCATATTCATTTGGTGCAGGATGAGGCAGGGGCTGAAGGATGGAACCTCTGAAAAAAGGTGCTTCAACACCTCTGCCCTTAATCCTTTCCAGCTCCCATCCATCTGCCCCGATATTTGGACTGCCTAGTGTAAGTAAGAAAAATGGGTCCCCAACACACACAGTCTGGCCTGAGTTCAGGTTCAATCAAAGTTCCTAGGACATGTGAGCTCAAGGCCTGCTTCCCCGGTGCACCTTGGAGGCTGTCCTGACTTCAGCTCAGTGAGCCAGGCAGACAAAATCAGGTGCCTGGGCATGGTGTTTAATAAACATTTACTGCAGGGCAACAGGGATAAAGGAAGGCAAAATCCCTTCCCCCAAAAAGGTTTATATCTAGACAGAGTGCACGCTTTAAAGGGGATAATAGCACACAATGCGCCTGGACAAAACAGAGGTCAGAGCAGAGTCAGGAGAGAAAAAGTCTCACATGACAGATGGTCTGGATGGTCTTGAAGAAAGGACGTTCTGTGGCCTTGCAACATACACCGAGAAACAGATTCTTTAAAGACTTCTTTATTTGTGAGAGAGAGAGAGAGAGAGCATGAGCAGGAGGAAGGGCAGAGGGAGAGAGAGAGAATCTCAAGCAGACTCCCTGCTGAGTGTGGAGCCTGACCCGAGTTGGGGGTGGGGGGGCTCCATATCATGACCCCGAGATCGTGACCTGGGCCAAAACCAAGAGTTGGATGCTTAACTGACTGAGCCACCCAGGCACCCCGAGAAACAGATTCTTGAAGGCAGAGACATGCACGTAAGCACCTGTAATTATCAAAGACAATTCTCAGGTGTTTCTTCCTTCCTAAGACAACGTAAAGTAAACATGTATTTGACTCTTAGTTAGAAAACTAACTACATTTGGCTAAATTTTACATGTCATGGAGTTAACTAAATGCAATTGCATCCAGTATTTCAATTCATTTTCTATTTACCAGGCAAAGACAAATGAAATGCAAAAACTCAAACTATATTGGGGAAAGATCAATTTTGACAACAGTGTAGTTTTCACTTTTTTGCTTATCATTTCCCTAGAAGGATAGACCCTTAGGTAATACAAAAGTGAGGAAACGCGGTCGGATCTATATGATTTTCATTTCATATCCAGAGCGCATGTATTTGTTTACAGAGACTCCTATCCATAGATAGAAACTGCTTGCTAATTTCTGTATTACTCTTGGGTAGTTCAGATTTAATTTGGTACTTAATTATGAAAATAAGAAATAAGGCAAATTTCAGATTAACTTGTCCATGTTCACACAGCAGGTTCATTCCTACAGACTCTCAAACCCACACCTAAATCACACAAAACAATGCCCATACCTGAAAGGGCGAAATCTCCTTTCTGGCTTTCACTTTCTCTGATTAGAAAGGCACCAGTCTGATTTTCTGAATATAATAGTTGTTTTTCTGCATCTGTTCTCTTGATTGCTCCAAAGAACCACCTAAAAAGAGACAGATGTAAACTTTAATTAACCAATCAAGAGTCATTTTTTTAAGGAGCAGAAAGTTTGGCAAGAAAGTGTTCGAACATCAGAAATGTTTGCTATTCTTCAGTGAAACTATTACAGGTATAAATGTACCTTTCGATACTTGAGATGATTTTTCTGGATGTCTGTAACCCTCACCAGGAGCCTTTTAAAAATTATAGAATAGGAATTTGGCTGATGCCTGCTACCACATTCCTTCTCACATCTGTATTCTGTCTGAGAGGTAATGTGTCCTCCTTCTGTCAAATTCAAAGCTTCCAGGGTGGGCCCACCACATTAGCCGTCTGGGTTCCATGCTCTATAATTACTCATCATCACCATCAAACTTTCACCACCTCACCTAACACCTTCTAGGTGTGAGGAGGCAAACATTCCAATCAATGGATTCATATACTCCACATTAAAGTGTGAACAATTAAAAATGTAGTTCTCTGGGCATTAATTCCTCCCCCCCCACTCCATCCATTACTGCCCAATGCCACCATAATGTGAGACAATTTTGCATGTTTAGGAGAAACTTATCAAATATAAAGGAAATTGTCCTTGGTGGAGAAATGATGTGAAAAAGATGCTTCCACCTGGGAAGTATCTTCCTAGGGCCACCCCCACTTCTTATCTTTACCCTCCTATCCTGAACATTCCAGAAATATAAAAGTCAGATACTGAACACACACGTTTGTGAATGTGATTAACCCTAACAAAGAATTATGGATTTTATTTTATTTTTGAGATTTTATTTATTTATTTATTTGACAGAGAGAGCACAAGCAGGGGAAGCAGCAGACAGAGGGAGACGGAGAAGCAGACTCCCCGCTGAGCAGGGAGCCCAATGCAGGGCTCGATGCCAGGACCCTGGGATCATGACCTGGGCTGAAATCAAGAGTTGGATGCTTAACCAACTAAGCCACCCAGGCGCCCCAAGAATTATGGATTGTAACGCTGGAGCCAGCCTAAGATGTATATCGAGTCAGTAGACACTAATGTTATAATAAAAGGAAGTTGAGAAAACCTGCTTTTCACTGATGGCCCCTCACTCTAGAGTCACAAAGTTAATCTTTATCATTTAAGATTTTAGGTACAACAAAATCTTAGGTACAGATTTTATCTTTTCAGGTATCATCTTTAAAAATGTAGACACTCAAAGAGAGGAAATGTAGGCTTGAGGGAAGATACACAGGCTGTGTGAGGAGCTGCAGGCTGAGGGAGGACATACAGGCCATACCAAATTGGCTCCAATTGGTCTGACAGGTCATGGATATTGGAGAGTATGAGTGCACTGAGGGTGATACAATCGGAAGGAAGAGGGGAAAGGAAGTGAAAAGAGAGACATTAAAACATAATCATTACCTCCTAGCAAAGGCAAGGTGCTTGTTTACCATTTTGCCAATCATCAAGTTGGAAATTACACAATCTTAACTATATCAGTTAGGATAAGCCAGGTCATATTAGAGTAATGAACAGTGCTAAAAATCTCCATGGTTTAAGACAATGAAGACCTGTTTTTCCCTCAGCTGCATGTCCGAAAGGTCGCCCAGGGCTCTGCTCTAGGTCTATCACTAGCACTACCAGGGCATTTCTGCCTCCACGCTTCCACGATGGCTGAGGCAGGAGTAAAACATGTGGCCAATCACAGACTGGTTCCTGGAGTTTCTAGTTAAAGCTTCTATACAAGAATGAAACTCTTGCAAATAAGTCCTATGTTTGTGCCTAAATGCAAAGAGAGTAGGAAACGCAGTTGCACCGTTTCCCAGAAGGCAGAGCTGGAATCCTACGTGGTAGACTGCACTAATGACCACCTCACCAATTCAATATCAGGGACCAAACTGATGTCCACAGACTACTGTTTGTCGGACAGAAACTATGGAAGCCAGGGAAACATTCCAAGGGGCTATGTAATGAATTCACAGAAAAATAGAAATGCATGTTTTCTATGACTACAGAAATAAGTCAATAGAATAATGGGGGGGAAAAAAAAACCTCAAACAGACCCAAACACACAAATTAGAGATGAAAGTGCAGATTATTCAATAACCAATATTAGTACCATGAGTAATCCATACAGAAAAAAAATTGATACTTCTTACAACATACAACATTGTTCTATGTAGATTAATGACCTAATGCAAACTTTAAAAACTTTGTGAGGCTACCAGACCAGGGAGGGTTTCTTAGATAAGAGAAAAAGAGAAAAAGAAAAAGAAAAAGACATAAAAACCTTAAGGGAAAAGATTGATAATATTTCTTATACCACAATTAAAAACTTCTACAACAGCAAGATTATCATGAAATAAAATTAAAATACAAACCACAGACCTGGAGAAAATATTTGCAAAGTATATAACCAAGAATAGGCATAGTATTCAGATTACATAGAGACCTATAATCAATTAAAAAAAAACACGGGGCGCCTGGGTGGCTCAGTTGGTTAGGTGCCCTACTCTTGATTTTGGCCGGGTCATGCATGGTCTCAGGGGCCATGGGGTCAAGCCCTGCCTTGGGCTCTGCGCTCAGAGGGGTGTCTGCTTGGAATTCTGTCCCTCTCCCTCTGCTCCTCCCCTGCACTGGTGCACGCATGCTCTCTCAGAATAAATAAATATATATTTTTAAAGATTTTATTTACTTATTTGACAGAGAGAGAGAAAGCACAGGCAGGGGCAGAGGGAGAGGGAGAAGCAGACTCCCCAGTGAACAGGGGGCCCATGATCCCAAGACTCCGGGATCACGCCCTGAGCCGGAGGCAGATGCTTAACCGACTGAGCCACCCAGGTGCTCCTAAAAAGAATTTTTTATAAAGAGACAACACAGTAGAAAAATTGGCAGAGTATATAATTGTACAGTTCACAGAAAAGGAAAATCCATTAACTAATAAAAATAAGAAAATAAGCACAGTCTCTATCTGTACCAGTATTATCTATACCAATAAATAATAAAACAATGAAATTTCACACTTTTCAGGCTAGACAAAATTTAAAACTTTCACATTCAGGTATCGGGAAAAATGTGAAACAAGAACCTTCATACAATACTAGAGGCAATATCATGTGGTACAACTACTTCAGAGAAAAATCTGGCAATATCTAATAAGGCTGCATACCATTTATATACCATTCAATTTCACTTCTAGATTATATACCATATGTGCTCAAGGAAATAAATCACAAGAACAATTACTGAAGAATTCTAGCACTGAAAAATTGGAAACAATCTAAATGTCCATTTCAGGGGAATAGATAAACTTAGTTGTAGATAAAAGAATAACATACAGCAGTTAAAACAAATTGTTGAGGGACAAAAAGGAGCTGAAGAATGATACATACTACTATAATGTCCTTTATGTAAAGTTTAAGTGAACACATAAAAAACACTATATATATTTTATGGACAGTTGCATGCTTAATAAAAGCTAATAGTTAATAGCTAATAACATTTTTTTACTCCATTTCCAGAAATGGCAAAATTTCTTTGCACAAATATTTCAAGCACATTAGCAACATGGATCAAATATACTGATCAACCCCATGCATTTCCTTGATTCTGAGTGCATTGATTATGCATCAGCATTAAAATGTTTGCTCAAAATATAAATATTTAAACCTTTACAAGAATTACAGTTTATCTAGCAGATTAAATTCTTAGAAGTATGATTATATCTCATATATCTCATCATCCTTAAGAATAAATTCTATTATATGTTTTATATACATACATTTGTATTTTATATAATCAAATCTGTAAATGATGTATTTTCTCTGCCCAATATATGTATAAGCAAGCAGTTTTATAAATCAAAGATATAGTAATTTTATAACATTTGTAGAGAGAAACTGTGGTAATTTTTTTAATCCTTTTTTTTTTAAAGCTTTTATTTATTTATTTGACAGAGAGAGACACAGCGAGAGAGGGAACACAAGCAGGGGGAGTGGGAGAGGGAGAAGCAGGCTTCCCGCGGAGCAGGGAGCCCGATGCGGGGCTCGATCCCAGGACCCCGGGATCATGACCTGAGCCGAAGGCAGACGCTTAAAGACTGAGCCACCCAGGCGCCCCATAAATCCTTTTTTTCTCGCCAATTTTGGATTCTTGTATAATAGTTTTGTATACTCACTTCACAAGGCAAATCACACCAGTATTGACTCTACAGTAATGAAATGGATATAAATATTTGACTGGATGCATCTGCTCACTTAATACCTGGAATTTTACTTGGCTGACTACCACCAGGAAGTGACTATAAATAAAAAATTGTTTTCTGGATGTAGTGGCATTATAATGCCATCTTTCATACTCAATGATGATGCAACCACTCTACGTTACAGCATGTGCTGAATCATTAGGGCACGTGCTGCTGTGGAGACTAATCGGAGAAAGACAGTTCTTTCCACCCTCTGCACATGGGAAAATTGTGCTTTAACCTGTGGTCTGAGCCTGTGGCAGAACTGTCATTCTTCTCCATTCTGCCTGCTAGAGCCCCTGTTGGCCCCATTCCAGAGGGTCACGCACATCCCAGCATGCTCACCACAGCCACTTTGAATGCCCTCTTTCTGCTGTAATTCTTGTGTGCAGTAAACGGTGAGTGCTGAGAAGTGACCAGGATATCCCCGGACAGATCCCGGGAGAGTCTTACAGCTTAGTGACCCTTGAAAGTGTGGTTCCCGGACCCGGAGCATTGGCATCACGTGCAAACTTGTTAGAAAAGGAAATCTGCAGGTATCCCCCATACCTACTGAATCAGAGACTGTGGGGTGGTGCCCAACAATCTAGGTTTCAGTAAGTCTCCAGGTGCCTCTGATGCCCAGGAAAATTTGAGAACTACTGAGTTATAGGAACAGTAAAAAAAATTAAAAATCCTTATGAGACAGCTGAGAATACTGTTAGAGTTTGGTGTTTACATGTGAAAATTATTCAGTAAAATGACACTACACACACATTTTATTGATCTTTAATGAAACTAATCTTTA